CCACCTGGAGTTCTTTACCATGCGCCCAAATCTGAGCACACGGGCCTACAGCATTCTCACCTCCATCGAAAATGCAGCCACCGCAGCCGGGATTCGATCCTGCGACCTGCGGGGCAGCAGCCGAGTACCATAGCCACTAGACCACCGTGGCGGGGCCATTTCTGATAGAGGTGAAAATGCTGAAGCCCGTGTGCTTAGATTTGGGTGCCCGTTAAAGAATCCTAGGTGGTCTAAATTTCCGGAGCCCTCCACTACGGCGTCTCTCATAATCATATGGTGGTTGTGTGACGTTAAAACCCACGTATCAATCAATCTTCATGGCAACAACCATGCAAAAGAAAGAAAACAAAAAAATATTTAAGAAGAAGGAGAAACGCTGCCACTAAGAAAATCAGAGCGACGGCGAGGATGGTATTACCAGCCAAGAACAGCGCCGATTTAGGCGTCAAAATATAGAGCGCGGTAAAAATATCGCCCACACATTCTTTACAACAAACCCAAGTGATGATCTCGATTGAAGCCGTCCGGACGGGCCATCCGAGGATCGTTCACGGAAGCGCGCCACACACAAACGGAAGAGAAAGGGGTATTCAAAAGAGGAGAGGAGAGGGGGCGGGGTTTAAAGAAGAACGCGTACGCTAAACGCCCATGCGACGCGCCAGACCACGCACGTTGTCTAGGAATTCGGGCGGCACGCGTCCGCTACGTGCTGGACAGCAGTTAAGGGAAACGGACGCCGTACGCCAGCAGCGGACGGCCAGCCACTTTCACCCTGACCCGGTCTCGGGAATCGTGAAACACACTGCTGCCGCTGCGTCGTAGGCGCTTCCCTCTCCCTCGCCCTTTCCTGGCCGGGCAACCTCCGTATATGCGTGCGCTCATCCACTGACCCCTGACCTGCATTCCCGCTTGCGATGCGCAGCTCTGACCGACCGACCGACATACACGGATGCGAGACCGTAATCTCTTTGCAAGGGCAACCGGATGACCGGTTCGGCGTTCGACCCGCGATAGACGACGGACCGAACTACGACCGCCCCCCCTTACGGCTTGTTGGTTAAGCAATGCACCGCTCTCATATGTTTGAACGTTTAAGCGTGGGCTCTACCCTTTCATAAACAGACCGTTTAGTAAATAGAGGTCGAGCCGCTAAGCACACGAACATGGATGGGTTCGATACCCGGATATAGCTGCGCATTTTAATAAGAATCAAAAATGTGCGCGGAGGTTTGGGTAAGCAATTGAAAAAAAAAGCCAGTGGTCAAAATTTATTTGGTACGATTCATAATATAAATGTTTGTCTGCTTCCGGGGTATACAGAAGATACGGTGCTCGTAAGCCGAGCCTAAGGTCGTGGTTTGGAACCCGCGCGTAGAGGTAGCAGAAAGATCACTAATTAAGTTTTCTTTGGACACACAAGGCGCCCCACATTCATAGTCAGCGCTCGTGTGTGTTGTGTTTTACATATGGGGGCGTCTTATGTGTTGGCACTGTTAATTTTATCTCAGGTAAAGAGCACGAGATGATCAACATCACCGCGATCCTCCACTATATAGGTCACAACTAGTAATAATATCGTGGTTTTGGCACGTAAAACCCTAAATGTTGCTTTCATTAGGCCCGAAACATTGGGTTAGGTGAAATAATGCAGCGGTGGGCAGTGTGGTGACAAAACAAACACGAACAAATAATGCATTGCATGTGTGTAGAAAGCATTATATCGTTGGGAAACTGACCATTACTCGAAAGACTGCTTACCTCTTAACCATTGGAGAGGAGAACAACCGGGGACTTCCATGAATATTTCTCGTGACTCCGATATCCGATAACCATAACCGCCGGTTCCTCGCTAGTTACATGCCTGCTTGCAGCCACCTAGACGTTGCCCACTTTTCCTTATTTCGAAGTCGACAATATGAAGCCATCAACTTTCTGTGGAAACCCCGGCGACTGACGCCCGCAGGAGCGTGAACGTGTTTCAAGTTCTCTGCGTTGTCAGTAGCTGAGCACCTATCGAATTACCTTCCTATAACATCGCTGCTGCGCAAACGCACAAAGATAGATTTAGGCAGCTCCTGAAGCGGCATTTCATCGGTACGTATGTCATGTCATCTAACAATTATTACACGGCGTACAAATATTTCTCTAATTCATTCGGTTACCTGCACCAACGATGCACATTTTCTTTAGACTTTGTTTTCTTTTGTGCGCAAGCACTGCGCAGCTTCGTATGCTACCACGAACTGTATTATTTGCATGTGATTTGTTTTATATTACCGCGATATATCGTTTAAGAGCCGGCAGTGTCACCAACTTAACACCTGCCAGATGCGTAACGAGACGGTCGTTTGAAACTTCCAACCCGTTGTCGAGTGCTCAGCTATAATTATTATGATCCGCTGCATCGTCAACGAAGTGCCCAACTACGTATACGTCCGCACCGCCTTATAGATGCTAATGGGTACTTCGATACCTCGTAAAATGATGAACTGCGGCGTAGAAGGCACTTCACAACTGCAATTGCATGTACAGGCACTCTAGGATAGAATTCAGCAGCCAATGTCACGTGCACAGGCTTCGCTTTCCTTTTGGCACATTTGAGGTGTCCACTGAAAAGCAATGTATGGCCACGCGAGGCGAACAGTGTCTGATAACGCTATATCTGCTACTTTACCTAAAGTCAACAAACCTGAGCGACCGCCTGTAGACTGTGTGTGCTCCCCGAGTGTGCTCGTGATTGTGTGTACTTTCTCATCTTTCTGCAACCTCTTTTCTCCCCTTTATCCCTTCCCCAGTGCAGGGTAGCAAACCGGATGTGCGTCTGGTTAACCTCCCTGCCTTTCCTTGCATCCCTATCTCTCTCTCTCTCTCTCTCTCTCTCTTGAATAGCTGGCCATAAAATTGATCTGGGCAGATGTCATTTTTGCTGAGACAGAAACCCTTCTCTCTTTGTTTTTGCATAGCCATATAGAGTTTTGTTGTAACAATAAGGGCAGTATATTTGTAAACGACACATTTTGCTTGGCAGTGGCAATTAGGGCGCCAATAAAGATAAGGAATAAGGCCATGCCATTGTTTTATTGTGAAGTTTTCCTTATTTTCTACTTGCAACGCTTCCCGCAGGCAGGCTTCACGTAACGCTCGCTTGTTTTTGCTCGTGAAGTCAGAAAAAAATGCGCGCCTATTTTCGAGCAACGGCGTTTTTCGTGCACATGCGTGATCTGATAGCATTTCAACGTTATTTTTCCTGCCAATGAATTAAGTCGTCGCGCTGCACCTTGAGTACTAAGTACTATAAACCAGTGTTTATCTTGCACTGATAAAGTCGTATGTTAATGGTTAGGCGGGTCAGAAAAATAATGCCATTAAATAAATTATCCGCTATAATAATTGAGTGCGGGTAACGGATTCGGCGTTTCTGAATCCGTATAACCTTACACGTGTGATGATCTGACGAGGTCAGAAGCTGAGCGTGCGACTCTAAATTGGTCCTCCCGCGCGGAGAATACGTTTAAGATACTCTTAACGTTGAGCGAATGGTACGTGCAACAGTTAGAACCTTGAAATGTGAATTGAAGCGTGGTAATTTTGACACACACACACGCACAAACAAATATATATATATATATATATATATATATATATATATATATTATATATATATATATATATATATAGTGGGAAATGGCGCTTCCTTTACGAAAGATTTTCAGGTGTGCACACCGCAAAGAACAATATAATTGTAGAGGTTTTACTTCCAAAAATAGTGATAGAACTATAAAACATGCCGTATTGGAATTCTCCGAAAATATTGACCGATTGAGATACCTAAACGCGCTTCTAAATATAATTACAGGGGCTTACACCATTTTGCTTTTATCGAAACGTGGCCACCGCTGCCGGGATTCGATCCTGTGACCTTCAGTAAGCAGACCACACCAGAGGGTTGCGCAAAGTAAATCAACCAAATTTAATAAATACCCACGAAACTGCAGCTATAAGTTCGCCAAGATTCCGCTAATATTAATTTGTGTATCTTCCAAAAGAAGGAATAAAAGCGCATAAACCGTCCTGATTTTTCTTCGTATGGCAATATCTTTGATGATTACATGACCATGAACAATTTAGAACACGGCCTATGTTTACAGTTCCTAATAGGGGCATATCCAGAATATTGTTTTAGGGGGGGGGGGGTTTCAACTATACGACATGTATGTTCGTTCAAGCGTTTGTATGTGTACGTGTATACATATACGCAAGCTAAATTTCTTAAAATCGGAGGGGAGTCTAAAGCCCCTAACACCCCCCACCCCAGCTACGCCACTGGTCCTTAAAGTGGGCATAAGTACGTTAGCAGTGCGTCCGCTTTCAGGGGCGATACTCCTCTTACTAACATAGTCCTGCGTGTGGCGTAACCGAGAGAAGAGGCGAAAAAAAAGAGGAAGGCAGTAGCTCTCGAACAGTATAATAAGCGGCACTGTCTCATAGAAGTACATACAAACTGCAGTGTAGGTGGCACTGTAGCGCTACTCTCCGATTGGCTGCTGCGCGGGTTGTGCCTGGGATAGTCGCCGTACGTGGCGGATCGTTGGTGGGTCATGGAAGAAGCAGAGCGGCGGGCGCGTTGAAGACGCTTGCGCTCAGCTTTCTTGGCTCGTGTCTCGTCGGTATTACCCGCGCGCCGTCTGCATTCTCGAACACGATCGGACGTATGCACGGACGGATGGATGCACGGGCGTGCGCACGGACGGACGGATGGACAGGCAGACGGACGACCGGACGCATGAACGGACGCATGGATATACGCACGAACGAACGCACGGACCAACACACGGACGACGCACGCATGGACAGAAGCACGCACAGAAGCACGCATGGATGTACGGACGCTTCGCCTCACTCATCACCATTCCCTCCGTGGATGTGCTGTGATTTTTCTCCTTAGAGCTAGGCGTCTTTCTCTCCACATGAAGACAACGGTTAAGGGAAACGATACAGTGTTTAATCTTCTAGGCCACACTTTATTGCACAAGGAGAGGTGGGCAAAAAACGCAAGTCACACACAAACAAATCTTCTAACAAAAACAGGAACAAAAGAATAAACAAAACCCGAAGGCGCGCGAGATTGACAAGCGAATCATTAAATATGCGACTACGAAGGGCAAATAAATACTACCATAATTAACACACAAAAATACAAACGAGGAAGCACACAAAAGAAGCCACGTAAACGAAAAAACCAAATATAACTATAAAGAAGAGGGGAAAGAGTAATAACACACGAGTTCCACATATGATTACACAGCTGCGAATGCAACAAGAATCTCTAGAGAAAAAGTTCAGTAACGTGGATAGGGAGCGTACTCCTATACAGAGCACACAGAGTGATAAACGATACTGGTTAAGAAACACACTAAACACCGGGTGCTCTATCACCACACAACACAAATAAAGGAGGCGCTTGCGAAGTATAAAAAGAAAGTAGTAGTGCAGGAACATCGTAAAACGACAGAAAAAAAAAACGGCCTAAGGTCAGACGAGAAAATAAAGAAACGCAGGCCCTCGTGTACAGAATGAGGGTGCTCGAGGTTACGGCAGTGCGTGCAACTGTAGGTAGGCGATTGCATTGTCCCAGTATAGTGAAGGTGGCAGTCGACGGAAAGTAAAGAAGTCGTGAGAGTTCACAGGAACAGTGTGGCTTCAAGAAGATTCCCTCATTTACGATGATGCCCTGAAGGGAGCGCCGACGAGCGCAGCGTCGGCGGCTTGGGCGGCGTCGGGTCCGGGAAGAGCGCTCGACGTGAAGGTGGTGTCAGCCGATGGCCTGGACTCGGTACCGGGCTCGTTGGTGACGACGTCGGCCCTGTAGCCGAACTCGTCGGCGACGTAGGTGACGGTCCTGGTGCGGCCGTCAGCCAAGCTCAGGGAGTAACGGCCGGACACACGACCGCTGCCGTCACCGGTTTCCTCGTGTCCATGGCTGCCCTCGATGTCGTTGGAGACGTAACCAAATGAGTACGGCTGCGGCAGCTCCACGGGGGCGGCAACCAACTGGCAGCTGACGGTCAGGGCACAGGCTGCCAGCACGGCGATGGTGAGCTGGAAGAAGGGCAGTGAAGAGTGAAAAGCATACTTTTGACATACAGAACATGTCGACGATTCGATAGATGAAGGCATGAACGGTTGTGGTCAAGCGTTATGACGAAACGATCCCGTGATAGGCATGGCAAGTGTCTGTCACGCTGGATGAGAAATCTCGCTATCGCGACATTGGTCATGACATGTTTATGCTCCACGATGGCACCATAGTATGCTTATACTCACAGATACGCGAAACCGAGCATTTTCCCTTGGCAGTACGACGACATTAACTGACGTGGACTAACGACACTCGCGGCTGAAGTGGCGAGCCGGGATGTCGGGTGCCGATCGCTTAACTTGCCTGCAAATATTGTAGAGCTGAAAATGGACGCGAATGATGCAAAGGAAGGCCCGCCGTGGTGGTGTAGTGGTTGTTAGACTGCGAACCCGAAGGTCGCGGTATCGAATTCCGGCTGCGGTGGCCGAACTTTCGATTGATGCGAAAATGCTTGAGGCCCGTGTGCTTAATTGCACGTTAGTTAAGTGGGCTGACGAGATTACAAAGTTCGCGGGTATAACGCGGCAACAAATTGCACAAGACCGGGTTGATTAATAGATCACGGGAGAGGCCTTTGCTCTGCAGTGAGTGTAGTGAGACTAATGGTGATGAAAAACCACAGCTGATCTAAATTTCTGGAGCCCTTCACTACGACGTCTCTCATAACCATATCGTGGTTTCAGAACCTTACACCCCAACAATTATTGCTATGATCAAAATGAAATGGATCCGATTTCTCTAGTACACACAACACGTCCCTAATAGGTGCCATGGGTCTGTCGAATAAGCTTTGCCTATTGCTGGTTATACCACTGATACCATAACGATAGGTGTGCAATGGCAATTGGTTCGAAGTTGGTGTCTTATTACGGCGGTTGTACCCCTCCTGATGAAAAACAAAAGAATAGGTTCGCATTAGGCACTTGACACTCCTATTGTTACCCCTACTTCACAACCGCAGTGTTGGACAGCAAACAGGATGCTAATATCTGGTTAACCTCCCAGCCTTCTTCTTCATCTCTCGCCCTCTAGACGTCAATTGACGAAATCCAGCGCTCCCCGTAAGCCACCAGTCACGCAGCTGTCGCTTTAGTCCCGTCGCAGGAAATGTCAAGAGGCTCGAATGAGTTTTCCGTTGTGTGTAGATATATCCAATGTGCGCTGAATGGTTCTTGAGGTTCCGCCAAGAAGCGTCGCACGTGTTTTCGCAGGAGCGTCTCTTCTCGCTTACCGTGTTCATGGCTGCTGCTGCTGCTGCCGCTGTGGTAGAGATGGCAGAAAACCGAGAGTGGAAGTCTCACTGAGCCCACCAGGCTTTTATATTCCGTCAGCGGGGGCACCACATCGGCACGCGCTTATCGATGACAAAGGCTATAAAGTGTGCCCTCTCCTTGTAAGTAATCGTCCTCCGGTCTTTACGGCATTATCCGCGTCCTTTATTTTTGCAAAACCTCTCGCCTACCCGTTTGTCGCGCTGAGGCGGAGTCATCAGGAGCGTTGGAGAAGAAAAAAGAGCATCGAGATCAGATTTCCTTTTCGCTCGCATCGCCCAACAAAAACCACCGAGGGAGAGGGTACAGAAGGCGGATTTTGCGGGCCGCGTGGAATCTTTTACGCGCCCGACTGCACGCTATCCGCAACCGGGAGGGCGAAAGTGTATCGCCGTCCCATCGACAGAATCCGAGAAGAACGGAGCGCGAGGCGCCGCAACGTCCCTGTCTTTCCTTTTTGTAGTCGAAAAAGAGAGAGACATATAAGAAGCGTAACGTACTGCTTTCTCTGGAAAAATAAGCGTGGCTGTGTGACGCGCTGCGGGTGGGATCAGTTGTTTTTCAAGGATGTCTGCAGCCGTGCTATGCCGCTGCCGCCAAGGTAAACACAACGGCACTGGCCCCTATACGGCCGAGGGCGTGTACCTGAAGAACACTGTGCTTCGGCGTCGGAGCTGCATCAGTGTCCCCCCAACTCACCCCCCTCAGCACCCCCAGGCGATCAAGAAGCCCCACAGAAGGCATGCCTCTCTCTCCCGCTGACAACGGAACCCCGTCAGGATAACGTCCCGGCTTTGTTCGCAAGACTATAGATGGCTAGCTTCGATACGAACCGTATACGAAAGCGCTTCTTTATCGCCCGTGGGCGCATTGCGCAACCCAGGGTATGCCGCTGCTGCTTCTGCGGTTTACGAGTCGGAAATGCGCTTTGTCGGTGCCTGCGTTTGACTCCCTTCGAAGGCGACCATCGAGGATGCGTGTCACGAAAAGAGTTCGAGGCCGCGCGGATGCACGGGGCACAATACGGATGGAGGGTTCGAATGCCTGTTTGTATTTCGGGCTTGCGCTGACGTACCGCGGCATTGTAGGGCGTCAGCCTACAGACGGCTGTCGCCGCTGTTCAATTTGCCAAAAGAACAAAGCCTGCATTGGAAACTCTCGCGCATGATGAGATAAAAGTTTTGGCGGTGCAACGAAGGTTCACCTATAACAAAAGGACGCACGAGGTCTCGCGCTTTTAGCGAGCATGGTGGATCAGCCTGATCGTCGCGATGTTGCGATTAGCGTCGACGGCCGTCGCTCGATGAGCGATGGGAGATACGGAAGCATGGTATTGTCTGATCACAGTCGAACGACACTGTTAAGCGCGAGACATCGAATTAATTCTTTGACATCTTTCACGTTGCGATGCTATTTCAGAAAGCTGCTGAATGCGAGCAATAAGAGGCCGTAAGGTTTATCTTTCATCATTTCAAACGTGGACTTGCACGACAGACAGTGGTGCAGCCGTGCTTTGTATGGTAGTAGCCCCATCTCAAACATAAAATAAAAATGGTGACTAGCCCGCTCCTACGTGCAGCAATAGCAGGCGTAAGGCCAATTACACATAAAGGAAAGGGGGTATAAAAAGTACCCAAAGTGCCAATTTAGGTTTTTTTAACACCAGTTGAAAAAATAAAATCGGGCCACGGTAACGCATACAGGTCCTAAAACGTTGGCTAAACGAGCACAGAAAAGACTCGTACAGGCCATTTATTTTGTATTCTTGAAAGTTCAATGAAAGTAGAATCATAGATGATTGTCCTCACGTGCTCAAGAGAACCGTGTGCCTGCCTTCAATCATGTCCAGGAGTAGACGATCACTGGTAAGAATTGAAGGAAGACGATCCATATCCTCTGAAAAAAGTCTTCAAATCTTTTCAGGCACACAAAGCATAAGGTGTGCAACATGTAAACCATATTCCAGACCTCATGTTTGAGAAGCACAGGGCGGCCCGCAATCTCCGTCCCGCTCAACCATGTTCGCTCAGCAGCTGTGTTCGTTTCTTTTCTCTTCTTTTTAGGGGCGAAGCTCCTTAGGGCGTGGGCTGTGCGTCCCCTGTATGTAGCCACCTCTTGTTTAGTTCTTGCAGTGTTCACTAGATGGCGGTAGCATTCCTTGTATGTAGCCACCTCTCGTTTAGTTCTTGCAGTGTTCACGAGATGTCGGTAGCGTCCCTTGTATGTAGCCACCTCTCGTTTAGTTCTTGCAGTGTTCACTAGATGGCGGTACTTGTATTTGATGATGAAAAGATGCAAGATGTTATAAACTAGACGGCGGCACTTGTAGTTGATGATGAAAGATGCGAGATGTTATAAAATCGGAATGATGTCACATATGGCAGGTGTCATTGGTGGAAGGCAATCGTTCGATTTAGTGCAGCGACGTACGCTAGGGGGGAGCATTGTAATAAAATCGAGTGGGCAAAATGTACGGAAGATTCATGGTTTACCAGGTTTTCCTCCAGAGCTTCGCCCACTCATCATCATTCACTTCGTGGATATGGCGGCATTTTTTTTCATTTTCATAATTTCCACCATGCTGATGAGGATGACTTATGAGTAGCCCCAGTGCAGGGACACGCGACTCCAGCCTGCAGAGCGGTTTGCACTGCTTACATTTTTTATAAGGAAGGACGTGGATTTTACTAACATGACAACTTTCAGCCTTTACCAGACAACTTAGTGACATCGCGTACGCGCACACCCCACTTATTATTTCCTTTCTCTGGATAAGTTGTCTGGTTTTTCTAGTTATTTCCAGGGGCGAGGTGTCAAAGCACAAGGATACTATCTACCATTACTTGTCTGTTGCGACGCTAGGTGACGTCACGTCACAGGAACTTCGTTCAGATTGTTATAGACACATTTAATCGCTTGGGCTCGAAGCTCTACGTCGTTCTACGATGACAACGTTGAGTGGCTATGTACATAGCCGACTCGAATATTACCACACCCACAAACGCTGGAACGTTAGAGGTATGTCACCGACGGATATGCGTTATACCTGGCCTGACTTCCTTTCGGCGTGGCTGGAAGACAGATCTTCCAACTGGACCACGCACAGCCACGGCCACCCCTGTGTATGGCACGCGAGCGGCCTGCTTTGCTCTGCGGCGCGACACCTTGCGGCCGTTGCGTACACTGTGACGTCGCGTGCACAGGAGCATGCGCGGCCTTACAAACATGCAGGCATGCTCTACACGGGTGAGAACGGTGGATGGTGCGCTTGTTTAGTCGAAGATCCATGCTCCTTCACAGCGCTTTTGACACATATAACTCACAAGACGGAGCGCATTTTGACTGATAAAACGCGCCTGCATCAATTATGCACGCTTTGTGGTCAGTTTGAGGCATGCGATTATATAAAGATACGATAATGCCAACAGCTGCATAAAAAAAAATCTAGGCGGCTACAGAGAGTGCGTCGTTTATGCAGGCACGTGTTATCAGTCGAAACGCGCTTCGTCTTATGAAATAGATATGATGAAAGTGGCCTGAGCGAGCGTCGATCTTCGGTTGAACACATTCCCACGTCGTCACCTGTGCTGAGCACGCCTGAATCTTTGTAAGGTATACAGCGCATGCTCCTGTGTGCGTGACGTCACAACCCGCAACGGTCGCTAGGTGTCACGCCGCAGAGCAAGGCTGGCTGCTCGCGTGCTGACGTGGCCACGGCTGTACATATTTGGGGGATTATGAATGCCCTTGAGAGAAGGAAGAAATTGATTGCTTTCATTCCGTGAAGCAAGACAAATGGGCGAACTTGGAGCCACCATTAATCATTCGCGATGCAGCCGCTTTTCATAGATTGTACTATATGTGTCTAATAAGAAGCTGTGCGTCTGAGGAAGGAAATTCAGAAAGAAAAAAGTGAACTTATTTTGCTCGTGGAAGACAAACAAAATGCAAGAATGTTAACAACTATCTCTTTTTTTTAGCTCTTCCCTTAAAAAGAAAAACAAAACTCACAAGAGTCCCTTAGGCATTCGCTTAACACGACTCGCAGGCGAAAGACATGGTAATCTTTTCTTTGGAGTCGATGGCTTTTATGCCCACTCATCATCATTCACTTAGTAGATAAGCTGTGATATTTTTCTCTGTCGTTTGATTTTGCACCATTCATTACTCTGCCCGAAAGAAGACTTCACACGCCCTAAACTCGATTAGCATGCGCTTCAACGGTTCAATCGGTGCCGCAACGCCCTGTATTTCACCCAACGCGGAGATCGCGACGGTTGATGGCGGAATAGTTTCACGCACTCGCGTCATTTTTGTCTATACGCCCTCCATCTGGATTAGCTATAGATCTTTTCTATCTATTTTCAATAAAATGAACCAATACATAGATAATAAAGCGCAACGTCGCTGAATTGAGGGAAGCAGTTTATCTCGAATGATTCAATCGAATTCTTTATGAATACAGCGTCACAGTAATAGTTGTAGTGGTTCAACGTGCGAAAAACCACGATGTAATATCGTGGTAGGATGCTTTTGCAGAAGGCCCAGGAAATTTCGATTACACAGGGTCCTTTAACCTGGGCAGAAATATAAGTACACGAAGTAAACAGCATGGAGGCAGAATTTCGCTTCCTTATAAGTTTCTATGCCACGACAGGGATTCAATCCCGTGACCTTGAAGTTAGCACACAAGCGCCATAGTCATGGCGGGTCTCATCAACATAATGACCGAGCACCGTGCACTTTCCGCTATGCGCGGGGCATACAAATGACATGTTTGTATTTTGTATCTATGACGTTGTAAAACTGTATTCAATTGTATAACCCCGCGGCTTCTAGCGACCAGTTCTGATCCGTCAAGCTTCGTCCTTGTTTACATTTCAGCACATCCACTTCTCTCGAGCAAACAAAAAGGCATTCTGAAACAAGAACTCGTCGCTAAAGCCAGCTCATTGATCAGATTTTTGATCTCCCATGGCGATAATATTGATGGCAACTATCCCACAGACGTAATTTTCTAGGTCATATTGTCTTTGTCTATGTGAATCACATGTGCACAATGAGCGAAGAAAGCGAGCATGTAAATGTTTCGGCACCTTGATAATGAGACAGCAATGGTGGCTATATGCGCCTTACATATCCGATCAAGCAGCATTAACAGCATTTATTGTTAATCCTTCTAAGCTAAGTGTACTGATAACACCTGCCGTCATTCGCGAAAGAAATCTGATAAAGTTGATGAAGATAAATCAAAAATAGCTTAAAGCTTTTTACTTTTATTTGGAGGTAGGGAAGCGGGAGGGGGTGGGGCTGGGGGTTGAACTTTTCAACTCACCCTGGCTACGTATGCCACCTAGAGAGAAATAGATAAAAAAGAAGACAGGCGGACAGAAATATATATATATATATATATATATATATATATATATATATATATATATATATATATATATATATCATTCGTTTTAGACCAACCATTACCTCTGTCTCAAATCGCATCTGATAGCCTGCATCGATCCCTGCTCAGATATACTCCTTTTTCAATTTTTGGCTTTTCTTTCAATATATCATTTTTTTCGGTCCAAAATTACTTTGCGTTTGTAAAACCATAAGCCATTTACTTAAAGATCCTGCCGCCCGGTTCTTGGCCGATCCCCCTTTGTGGGTGTGCGTCAGGGTAACAAGGATCATCATCCACATCATCGTCATAACTACAGAAAGAAAGAAAGAAAGAAAGAAAGAAAGAAAGAAAGAAAGAAAGAAAGAAAGAAAGAAAGAAAGAAAGAAAGAAAGAAAGCGCATGATATACTTGTAATGCCGTCCTACTTATATGAATGGATGAGTAAATGATCAAATGTTTCGCCTGCATTGCTTTCAAAGCTTCATTAACGAATAAAAGAAGCAAAGGTTAGCGAGGACCTTGCTTACGCAAGCGAGCACCTCAGATCTTCTCGCGTAATACTTGGGAAGACGAAAAAGAAATAATAAGGCGGAGAAAAGCAGAAGTACAGAAATAAAAGAGCAAATTATGTAAATAAAAGCACGTGCCATTACTTTTCCCCGTCCTTTCCGAACAGTCGGCATATGGGCTTGCATGGCTCATATCTACGCACTCGCACCCGGTTTCGCATGGATAGCGGAGTACCTCTTGCATCTGCTTGTCGCCAAATCGTTCAAATACTGCGAAACTGCGCGCGTGACTGTCGACACATACCGGTACGCGCCCTATATTGCTTCGAGGAACGGGCGCGCTTTAGGCATTAGTTGCGTGCCGGGCGCAGGATCGTTCTGACGTATATGGGGATTATAGACCTCAGACCTTATCGACTGCTCTCGAGCGTTGCGTGTCACATTTATTCCCTTGGACCATATCCGGTCGAATGCGATTTGAATATCCCTCTGCCAGACATAGCGTTATCTTCAAATTTTGCTCAAGAGTCAAGAGGGAGGTGTTTGAAAGTGATAGTCGAGGCGTTTCGGTTCCTGTTGAGGTGGTAGATGGATTACGAGGTCTACAGCAACGCACGGCTGTGGCTTGAGAAAGCTATATATCAAATGGAAAAAAACCGCGAGGTCAACCGGTTACTTGCACTCTGTTTTTATACCCTCTACAGTGGCGGGGAAACATGAGTTAGTTAAGGTGAACGCATGATGTTTAATGACAGGGGGCCGTTAGTGTAAAAAGAACAACTCAACGCGAGCTAAAGCAGGAAGAGATGCATGAGGTTTTTGAGCCATTGAATGGGCCAAAAGCTTCTAGCGGTAGGTTGCGTTCATTCATGCTGACTATACGCAATTTCACTCGGTAGTCATCCTCCCCCTTTCCTCAACGCCTGTGTATGTAGTGTCGTTCGCCGTCGGATATTTTGAAAATCTGCATGCTCACTACATCGTGGTAGTTTGTAAAACCAGAGGGAATAGTTTTTCGATGTCAGGCGTTGACGTTGACATAATACACCGTACTTTGACGCTAAAGACAGAGAACGAAAGAAAGCAGGTCCAGTCAATCGAACTACTCATCATATTACCGACGTAATGGGAAACGGAAACATAAGAAGCAAGAGCGGGAGCAGGCTAGCCCCTATGACCCCAACGACCGTTACCGGCTATCTATGCCGGTGTTCAGAACTGTAGCAATGCTCACTCAGTTTGATTTCCCGCTGATGGGTGGGGCCAGTGTCCTAGGATATGCGCTACAGAAAATGGTTTGCTGTTACAGAAAATTTTTCAAGAACTAAACGCACTGGATGCTCCGTAGCGGACAGTCGGTTTCGTCCGGACTGCTATGTCGTCCTGACCGTATAGTCTTGACTTCTATACAGTCTAGACCGAACTAGTTCGGACCGCTATATTTATAAAGTCCAGTTAGCTTGCTGCGGCCTGCATGGTAATAGGCTGTCCCAGCGAAGCTAAGACTAATGAGTGCCACCCTTTTAGATGGGAAGAGCTTATGATCAAGATCAATCCGCTGTGTGGCGTGACCACCCTTACTGTGCATGCGCGCATCCACTTTCCCCTTTCTTCTTTTCTACACCCCCCCTCTTACGCCTCCTCACGCCGGCGCAGGCATCCTCTCCAGGGCGTTTACAACACCACTGCGAATGCACGTCCCCTACTCTCCAACGTTCCCCTCTCTCTAGGTTTCTCTCCTGCCTAAAGCCACGACGAGCGCCAGCGTCAATCACGCCTCCAGTGCAAACTTCAGCGCCCGCTGCTTCGCATCTACGTATGGTTTCTTTTAGCGGAAGATGGTATATTTTTTTTTTCGTGTTGGCCTTAGCAAGACCGATTAAATACGCATTCGTACTTGCTATAGTAAGTTATAGGCGGCAGAGTAGTGTTGTATGTCCGCGTGTAAGGCTAATTAGCAGTTGCAGATGCAAAAGAGAATCAAGGATACGGCAACCAGACACGCCTAAAAAGCTTCTGAAAAGTGCATTGTTGTGCAAGTGGCTTTAATATCCGCTGCGAGAACGCCGTCATCTGCCTGTGAATGTTTGAGCACCGGTTGGAGCGGCTAAGTTTGAGTAGGACACCGTAAGAAAAGAATTGGTTAAGTGTGCGTAGCAACGCACGGTTGTCCATAGCGCATGAACCATAAGTGTGAAGGCCCAAAAGAACTTAATGCTGTACTCAAAGAAAAGGGCTCCAAAATGAGCTCCGTAGCCTTGGGGCGCACTGCGCCGTGCCTATGATAATGCCAGAAAGAAGTGGTCATGTCTATTTGCGTGCTGCTTCATACAGAGCTTGCTTAGCGTTTTATTTTGATGTTTCGTGAAACCAGTACACAGAACTGACAAGGACACACAAGACTATATATAGTTAGAGGAACATTGGACAGTGACGTAGACAAAACACGCTTAACAAGCAAGGCGTACGTACTAGTTAGGTGCTGCTGTGTCTAGTGCCGACTACCCCCGTCGAACCATTGCACACATCGACGGGCTTACCACAACCGTCAAGTAGTGAAATGCTTCTGTGTTGTAAGAAAATGTGTTAGAAAAAGAAAAGTAATTAGGTACAAGGAACACGTATTTGTACACTCTACGTAGAAAACGCGACCCGTAATTGTTACTTAAAGCTACAGCTTGCTAGCTGGCGTTACGTGAGAAGAGGCTATGCGAAGGTGTTAGGAAGCCTCTCCTATCACAGCGTGAAAGCGATACGGCAACATAAGTATGCGGCGGCGCCTGTAGTAACGTGCGCTAACCTTTTCCACGGCGAGGAAGTAAAGAAGGAGAAAATGTTAGGAACGAAGTGGTCTGAATAAAAAAAAAGATTGCACGAGGCCACGGGGACAAGACACAGAAAACACAGGACGTACAAACGACAATCAAGATTCCATGTTCTGGCTTCAGGACATTTACAAACAAGAATAGCAGTTTTTCTTCTTTCGCGGATGGCGGGTAACCAGGGACCTTTCCTCCTCAGCAGCGCCACCCCACTGGAGGGTGCGACGTGGAACTTTTCATCTTCAAAAGCCTAGCTGGTCGCGGTGCATCTGGCGCGACGCCCGGTTCGAATGGAAATGAATGAGTCCTTCACTGATGCACGAGGCACGTAAGCACGATGGCGCTGGTTGAGGCGCCAAGCGGGTAAACATAAATAGGGTGGGAGATAGCCTTTTCGCTTCTTTCATCGCTTCGTGGTCGTCTACGCTGCCTATGGGAGGGTGTTGGCGGCAGTGCTCTGACAGACCTGCGCCGCAGGCCCAGTCACGCACGCCACCAGTTCTCCGGTTAGGGCAAGCGTCCTAGTAGTTCCAGTTTAGGCCTTGGACTTGAAGCCTCCGGAGGCGAGGAGACGAAGACGCTCGGGCTCGGCGGCGTGGGCGGCGTCAGGGCCGGACAGGGCGCTGGAGGTGATGGAGGCGTCGGCTGGGCTGTTGGACTCGGTTCCCTGCTCGTTGGTGACGATCTCGGGGTGGAAGCCGGTCTCGTCGGCGGTGTAACGGACGGTCCTCTGGCGGCCGTCGGCGAGGGTCATGGTGTAGCTGCCAGAAACGCGGCCATTGCCGTCACCGGTCTCCTCGTGGGTGTGGGTGCCCTCCTCGGTGGCAGATTCGAGCTTGAAGGAGTACGGGATTGGCTGGCTGAAAGAGTCGTCAGAGGCAGCGACGGCACGGGCGAAGGTCTGGGCGGCCTGAAGAGGATATGTCAGGAGCATGAGTGTAAATAAAATAAAACACGACGGATGATCACCATGCCGATTCACCAAATCATATTACTGCCTAGGAGCCGAGTTTTATGCGAAGAATCACTAACACTTTGAACCAGAACAGCAACACGCTCTGGTTAACCGAGCCCGGATGGCGGTAAGCGATAATTACAACAGGTCCTATCATAGAGACATTTAGTTTTCAGAAATAAGTGTTTTGTTCTTTCTCCCTGCACTCTTTGCAGGCTCTTTCCCATTTTTTAAAAATCTTATTAGCTGGACACCCGGATAACTATAAGTAATCGAGTAGATGTAATATTGGAAGAGCAGGAGTCTAAAGTCTTATAGTAGTCATAACGTCACCGTAGAAAGGCTGCATTTCTTCAACTCTCATGACGCGGGCTTCACTGCCCATATTGCATTATACTTCAGTGCAGAAAATTTAGTAGAGTTCAGGTGGCTTCAATATCTTCACTCTCTAAGGCAAGTTGCAGTTTCTCAATGATTTCATTCGATTGATGCATCCATACAGCTCCTTATCCTGCGATTTGCGGCATCTGAATAATTTATCGAATGCGTTACACTAACCTATTTAGCAATCTGCCTTGGGTTACATTCGGTTTATTTCTTTGACACATTTTGATCGTAACATTTTTACGCGATGCGCTGTGTGGATAAGGCAAGACTCGCGTGAAGAGATGCAATACTTACGGTGTCGAGGTCGCCAGCGGCGTTGAACCTCACTGGGACAGCCTGGACGGCAACAGCCAGAGCAAGGATGGCGACGATCTACATAGAAACATGGCATGCGGTTAATAACTGGGAGAGGAAACTTTGCACACGCGTCAAGGTACAACTGCTGAGCCAAGTTAGCGTTGTCAAATTAGAATAGACAAAAATATAGTCTCATCTTCCTCCCAAACATCGCTCAAGTAGCGCCTCCTATTCCGAACATCTTCGTCCAAATGAATCACCCCCTTTCCTTTTTTTTTCGCCCAATAAATGGTTCATTTGTGAGTGATCTAAAATGTTCAAAATTTGCTGAATATCGTCAACCTCCTCGTAATCAAATAAATCACCCCAAGTTACGAAAACAAGTCTATGGCGGTAGAGGAGACAGGTAACACTTTATAATACCTACATTGAAGCTCCCTGCTGAGCTACAGCCAAATGCATTTAGATGCTTCATGGCGCTAGAGTCACGTTACGAAGCGACCGTCGACCACTTTTCACTGAGCTCCACGTTTCCGTCTTAGAGAGTGCGTTTGTAAAGCGTAACACAAGTAGGCGTAGTACGAGTCCCCTTTGATTGTCCACCGGCTTTGCTAAAGCATTCGTGATAGTCCGTCGTGATACACACGGTGCACGTGAATGACGAAAGGACAAAAGAGGTAAAGATGCTGGGCGCTAAACTCCACAAGGCGGCGTTCACCTCCAGCTTTTTTTTTTTCGGGGCCCCGGAAGATGGCGGTCACGAGAAGTCGTTTCGGGTCGTCTCCTTACCTTGATCATCTTGACGGAGGAGAGGGGCAGCTGTTCCCAACCACAAGCCGAAGAGAGCAAAGTGAAGCGGTGATGTTCTCTGCGTGGCGGACAGTCGCTTTTATACCCGTCCCTCGAAGGATCCTCGCGTCGTCCGGCACATGGTCCAATCCTGGAAGCTCACGTGACGTAGAGACAGCGGGCACCCATTCGTGATGCAGGACCTTACCAGTCTTTTTTTCCTTTCCTTTTTCTCACTGGTGTTTGTAATCATTATTTTTACTTTGCTCTCGAACGGTTTTCAGCTTCTTTCTCCCTCAAGTTTTCTTAATTTCTGAGGAGAAGGTGCAGAGAAGCCAGCTGGACTTGTCTTTTTTTGTTGTTATTTAAACTGTACAGTTCATCCTCCTTGCCCATGCAAGAGGTCCCCGTCGTCTGCGCACAGAGCAGGACAACCAGTTCATTTCATTCAAGGTTTTTTGGTCGCTTTATTCCAGTTTTGCAGGATGGTCCCTCGGACAGGCGCATCGCACACATCTTCACCAACCACGCGAGACCCTTTCCTGTTGCCCCCGGTACTGCCCTCTGCCTTCTTTGCCAATGCGCCTCGGACGACGTGCGGCTACTAGCTCAAATCGTATTCCGTTGGCGCGCATCTGCAAAAAGGTCTTGGATAGCCTTTATCAGGCCGTTTAATCTTGCCGTCCGGCGCGCGCCGCCGACGGATCATTCTCGTTGGCCTCGAATTTACCGACGACCACCACTGCACAGACACCGCACGACGCAGAGAGTCGAATTTCGACGTGGACACGGAGGACTGATGGTAAAGCGCTATGCGGCTTGTTTGCGTCTGTATGTGCGTAAGCTGCGGGGGGTGAGGGAAAGTTTAAGGGGGCGAGTAGCGTCACGTCGAATGCCTGAGCGAAAACGGACCCTGAAAACGACGGCGGATCTTCCGAGTCCAGTTACATCTTTCTCTGACCTTTTGCTTTTTTTTTATCACACTCTCTCTCTTCTTGCACTCCGCGTTCTTCTGACGGAGGTAGATGCTACATGAGAAAAAAGAGCGGTTAGTACACTTTGGAACGCTGGTTCTCACCGCGCGGTCGCTCTTCATCGATGCAGTGTGTTCTTTCGCTTCATATTCTCTGTCGCGCGCTTTACTTGGCATGTACGCGGACAATACGGGATGCATTTTAGGTTTGGTTTTTACCTTTAGGGGGGCCTTGTGGAGGTGAGTTGCGTTCGAGATGTGCCTTCTTTTCGTCCCATGCATCCTTAACGCTCAGAGGTAGTAGCCTCATAAAACGTAAGGACAAGGGGTTCGGTACGGATTACGTCTAAAGTATTTCGCTAGACTCAACCGAGAGGCCCGTTGGCAGCTTGTCCATTAACTGTCCCGCGCATAGTATACATGAAAGCTTGCGTGCGTAGACAGGCCGTTTGTCATTCCTATCTTGCTTTGTGTGAGCGCGCGTGCGAGTACTTTATTATTCTTGCAGTTGCATTGAAATTGATGAAATTGTGCCAACACCACTAGTCTCCGGGTAAGAGCTACCGCGGAGGCAGCTACGCTTGAATATCTTGTTTCGTAAAAGAGAAGTGGGAAGACGGTTCGGCAGCCTTGGTCCGTCGTTGGGAATGCAGAGGAGCAGTAGTCGACTCGTGCGTAATTAATTTTTTTATAGCCACTCTAGAAGTGCTCTCTCGCGCGCAGTGAAATTGTGTCTTCGAGACAAACGACGTGCTGTATGGATAAAGTCAGCAGCGGATGATACTGCAGCACTTTCTGGGTGCAGAAAGCGCCGTGCCGCCATCTAATTTTGTTTATCGGCCGTCACGCTCGCATTGTGAAAGAAAGGTATGAGGAAAAAATATCGTTGCTTTCATCGCGATTTTCGCATCACGGAAAGGTGATTAGGTCTGATTCCTGACGAATGCATTTTTTCGCAAGTGCGGCAAAAAGGGGGGGGGGGGTATCAAATAGCACTACGATACTCAAGCATTCGGTGACGCATTTAGGACAAAGATTTGATCGCTACCAGGGTAAGTGAATACATATTCAAAACAGAACGTTTGCTTCATAACTGATATAGCCCCTTGTGAAATTCAATATTGTGCTCTGTTACTACCCGTCATAATGGTCTAGTTGTCATGGGACTCGGCATGTGACACAAAAGCAGCGGCGGCCGCTTTTTGATAAAGAAGAAATGCTAAAGGCCCCGATACTTCGAATTAGATGCAAGTTAAAGAAACCGAAGTTGTCAATTTTTTTGTACTCCTCTTCGATTGCGTCCCTCATAATAATATCGCGGGTTTGGTACTTAAAACCCCACGAATTATTAAAAGTGACGTTGAAAGGTCAGCGGCGCTTTCGAATTTCGTCTTTAGGTAGTCTGGCTCGTATTGTGGAATGTGTTTAGGGAAAGCCTATTGTTGCTGCTATTACGATCATCGGCTTACCGGAAATAACAGTAGCTATAATTCCAAGCGCTTTTTTTTTTCACGTGTGACAAAGTGGTCTCAAAGGCCCCAAGAATTACCAAGCGTTCGTTCAATCGTTTGGGACAAATAAATGATCACTGTCGTTGTACGTGAATACATGTTCAGTGCACATCCTTGCTTTCACAGCCAAACGGCCACGTGTGACATGCAGTATCGCGACTTACAACTCGGGTTGGTCTGAACGTTCTGCCTTTATTACATTATATTTGCTATTTCCTTAGTTTCAACCAACCGATGCCCCTCAAATTCCATGGAAAGTATTGACTGAGATGATCACACGTACTTCGCTTCTACTTAAAATCTAATTTCGGAACAGTCACCGTTGTCCTGTGGTGTCAAAATTGTACATTTACGTTCTCGAAAACGAAGTTGCAAGGGCGCAAGAATTTCTCTTGACAGAACTTTCTGTTTTGTCGTCCGTATATTTAACGATCCGTTTTCAAACGTGCTTGTCGTCATTAGCAACTGCATCTAAACCAATTTCATTAACAGGCCCCGCCGCGGTGGTCTAGTGGCTAAGGTACTCGGCTGCTGACCCGCAGGTCGCGGGTTCGATTCCCGGCTGCGGCGGCTGCATTTCCGATGGGGGCGGAAATGTTGTAGGCCCGTGTACTCAGATTTGGGTGCACGTTAAAGAACCCCAGGTGGTAAAAATTTCCGGAGCCCTCCACTACGGCGTCTCTCATAATCAAATGGTGGTTTTGGGACGTTAAACCCCACAAATCAATCAATCAACGCAACACCCACTTTGACGCTGCCCACAGTGTGTTAGCCAACTCCATTCACGATATCTTGTCGGACCAATGTTACAAAGCCCATTAAACATCTACTGCTCACCGGACAGAAAAAGTGAAACGCCCAGAGCCCACTTATTATCATCACCATCAATATGACTACGCCCACTGCAGGGCGAAGGCCTCTTCCATGATCAGCTAACAGAACCGGTCTTGTAGTTTCTGCCACCACGTTACACCTGCGAACTTTTTAATCTCGTCGGCCCACCTAACTTTCTGTCTCCCTTTCGTTGCATTTGGCTTCTCTAGAAATTTAGTCAGTTACGCTTAATGACCAGCGGTTATCCTGCCTACGTGCTGCTTGCCCGGCCCATGTCCATTTCTTCTTCTCGGTTTCAACTATTATATCCGTAACACCGGTTTGTTCCATGACCCACTATGTTCTCTTTCTTTTTTTTTTCTCTTAAGGTTACACGTATCATTTTCCTTTCCGTCACTCGCTGTGTCGTCCTCAATTTAAGCTGAATCCTTTTCTTAAGCCTTCAGGTTGCTGCTCCAGCAACCTGAGCAGGTAAGGTACTTACCTCCAGCAGGTAAGTACCAGCAAGATACAGCTGCTATGTACCTTCCTCATGAGGGTTAGTGGCAGATTACCATGCATTCATGATTTAAGAATCCTTGACGAAGGTGATACAGCTCATCTTTATTCTTCTAGGTATTTTACTCGCATGGTTCGGCTCCGTGGTTACTACCTGTTGTATGTTGACATACTACTTTACAACTTCCAGCGTCTCTCCACCTATCGCGAAGTGCTGTTTTCTGCTGAGACTGTTAAACAATACTTCAGTTTTGTAGACAGTAATTTACAGACCTGCTGTTCTGCTTTCCGTGTCCAGTTCAACAATCATGAGCTGTACTTTGTCCCCAGAGTTATTCAGTAAGGCAATGTCGTCAGCGAATCACAGGTTGCTGCGATACTCTCCATTAACTGTTATCCCTAACTCTTCCAAATCTAGGGCCTTGAAAGTGTAAACACTCGGTGAACAGCATTGAAGAGATCGCGTCTCCCTGCCTCACACCCTTGTTTATTGGGATTCTGTCTCTCTCTATATAGAGAACTATCGTGGCTGTGGTGGAACCACTGTAGATTTCTTTCAGTATGTTTATGTAGGGTTCGTCGATGCCCTGATTCCGTCGTGCCTGCATTACTGCTGATGTCTCGACTGAGTCAAACGCCTTCTTGTAATCTATAAAAAAGCTATCTATAAGGGTTAGTTGTATCCTGCGCATCTCTCTGTTACGTGTTTAATAGAATGAATAAATATGGTATATTGTGGTGTAGCCTGTACGAAATCCTGCTTTGTCCTTTGGATGATTGAGCTGTAATGTTGCCTTACCCTAACAAGTATTATTTTTGTAAATAGTTTGTTGAAAACGAACAGTAAGCTGATTGGCCTCTAATGTTTCAAGACCTTGACGTCTCCATTCTTATGAATAATGTGATGCTGGCGTTCTTCCAAGATTCTGGTCCCCTTTCCGTCAAGAGACACTTCGTATATAAGGTGTTCAGTTTTTCTAACACAATTCATCCGCCATCTTTCAGCGGGTTCGTTGTTAAGTTATCCACACCAGCGCCTTTGGCTCTTTGCATTCCTTACAAATTCGTTTCTTGCTTCACTCACATAGCTTCAGTATATGATGATTTGAAGCAACATTCGAGTTATCATCGATGTCGTTTTGTTTCTTTTGAGCAATATTTTCTTAACTTCAGTGCTTCAGCGAGGATATGGTACTTGCTATTCTCAGCACGCACGGCCAGTTTTACGTACTTACCGAAGAATTCGTGTTTCCACGTTTCTTATCAACAC